TACATCCCAAGGACGTACCAGAAGGACATCCCTAGGATGCCTCTTTTTGTGGAAAGCGGATGTCCCTGGGACGTCCCTAGTATGTACCATGTCCCGACACAGGATATCCCAGGGGCGTCCTCGTAGAAAATGAAGGACGTCCCTAGGGATTCTTTACTACCATGGTGTATATCAAATTTTTTTCACCACATGCAATATATTTCAATCATTATAGTTCTGTGAAACTGAAATATGGACCTATTGTCACTATCAATGCACTTCCCTTCAATTCTAATCAAAATAATATCCATGACTATGACAGCGTATGTCAAGTCGTTATTGATAAATACGTACTAGATCCGAGTCCCATCTCTACGGATATCGCATTAGAACAATGCATTTGGGTTAATTATAACAGAGGTGGCTATGTCATTATTGAATAGTGGTTAATGAAATGACGAATACTACCTTGGTAGTAAAAACACACTTTACGCCTCGAAAAGGAGTAAATAATGGTAGGTTCTACAGCTAGTGGTGGAAAAACAGAAAAAAACATACCAAGCTAATATAAGCGAGTTAAAAATACTGGAAGTGCCATATATTTTTTGTTATCTCGCACACGAAAGGAAAATCCTATAATGTTTCGGAGAACATCGTGCGTATCTAGCGAAATAATACACTCATGAAATCAAATCGATGGTGAAGTGGGGTAAATGTGACCTACTTTTTTACTAGTTCAATTTTCATTCACCGTAAACCAGCAAAGAAACGTTTGAAAAATTAAAAAAAAAAGAACATGTACTATTTGCGCGGTTTTGTATTCATTGTGTACTAGGAAGTTGCATGTTGTAAATGTTGTGTGATATTTTTCAAAATCATATCAATATATCACATTTACCCCTGGGACTGGGGCAAATGTGGCAGTAGTTTACATTTCTGTTGTAAATAGTATATTTGGTAGTCTAAGGCAATTGTATAAATATTCAATTCAAGATATCTGTTTCTGATTTTTTTTTTCAGAATTTAATGTTGAAAATACAGAATATGTGAACTGTCAGAAGGCAAGTTCAGAACAAAGATAAAAAACTTTTAGATGTCTCAGAGTAAATGTTGAATGTTGAAGTTTTCAATGGAAACTGGAAATTCGAATATTCCACGACTATCGACGAAATGATACTCTCATAATATTCTGTTGAAGTACAGTATCAATGTCGGCATTTATTGGCCTAACCTGAAGTAATAAATTTACCCCAAAAACTAAATTCCAAGGGGCAAATGTGCTATTGCAATATTCTGAGGTTAATATGTAGTTTTCAATAAAATAACTTATACAATGTATTTTCCCAAATTACTATACCGGGTGTCAACGAATCTATTAGACAAATCATAACTTCTAGACCATTAGGTGTATCAAAATGAGATCTGATATAGGTAAATGGTATGTGAAGAGTAGAGTTTTCACATATTTTTCACTTTCCGGTCACTTCCGGTTTCACCGGAAATCGCTCCAGTTCTAAATTTTTATATGGAACACCCTGTATATTGTAACATTTTTGGATTTCTGAGACAATTCTAGATCAGAATGTGACATTTTCGAAAGTTTTTATGCCTGCTTAATTTTTTCGGAGTCACTTTTGAAATTACATCTAGGTGGCCATGATCGGAAGTAAACTAATCTAAGGACCTCAGGTGATATCAGAAAATTACAATCGCGAAGTTTCAGTGACAAGTATGATAGATATGAATAAGACAAGTTGGCTAATTTACATTTTCGTGTCTAACTATTATTTTTCAAATGGTGACCATTTTTGACAAGCACTTTCCGAAAAAAGGATATTTTGACGAATCTAACGATACTAATTTATTTGCCTCGGTACACTTTACAAAAGTAAATAAATTATTATGAAGTATTTTCGTCGATAATATTCAATTTATGTTCTTATTTGTAATCCAATCGCAAATAAATTAGTATCGTTAGATTCGTCAAAAAATCCGTTTTTCGGAAAGTGCTTGTCAAAAAATGGTCGCCATTTGAAAAATAATAGTTAGATATAAAAATGTAATTTTGCCAACTTGTCTTATTCATATCTATCATACTTGTCAAAAACTTCTCGATTGTAATTTTCTGATATCACCTGAGGTCCTTAGATTAGTTTACTTCAAATCATGACCACCTAGATGTAATTTCAAAAGTGACTCCGAAAATATTAAGTAGCCACAAAAACTTTCGAAAATGTCACATTCTGATCTAGAATTGTCTCAGAAATCCAAAAATGTTACAATATACAGGGTGTTCCATTTAAAAATCTAGAACCGGAGCCATTTCCGGAACCGGAAGTGACCGGAAAGTGAAAAATATGTGAAAATTCTCCTCTTCACATACCATTTACCTATACCAAATCTCATTTTGATACACCTAATGGTCTAGAAGTTATGACTTGTCTAATAGATTCGTTGACACCCGGTAGAGTACTGAGTTGATAAAAATTAGATTTATATTTCAACCTCTCGGAAATAGTTATTTGTTTAACTAGGCAGCAAAGTAGTAGATTGACTGCCGAGGCTGAATTCATAGCCGAGCGTAGCGAGGCTAGGAATCCAGCTAAGGCAGTCAATCTACTTTGCTGCCGAGTTGAACATATAATTTTTTCTCCGATTTTCATAATGATATATATCTCTTTATTTTTCCTGTAGTGTTCAATTAAAATGAAATTTGATTGAAATCGCAGTTGTTGGAATGGTTGGTTGCTATGGAAATGTCCATAATAATTATAGTTGACAATTCATGAAATTTCTGACAGTTGTGCGAAAAAATATCGGTATATTTAAATTATTATATAATGGACAGTGATAGCGACCTGGAAGTACTTAAACCTCCAGAAATAAGGGAGGTGGCAAAAAATATAGAGTTGAATTTGTTGCCGAAGAAGTCTCGGATGAAATATGAAGGAAATTATAAACGATTTATGGATTATTAATTTTGAAGATACATATCAATCACCAAAGTAACTACTCTGCCTAGGCAGGAAAAGTAATACTTTGCTGAATGATATGTGTCAGCAAAATTAATATTTGCTGCCAATCGGAGAAAAAATAATATATTACTTCACAACAGAAAATGTCTGAGAGTAAAACGCACTGTTCGAATATCTGTACACAACTGAAATCCAATTTTCAAGATCTCCCCCCAGAAATAATTGATGCAAACACTAACCAATCAAATTCAAATAAGAAACGACGTTCGTCAAGATGTTGCGGCATCTGCTATATTACAGCATGCAACAAACACAAATGGCACATTCAATTTCAATATTTACCATCGTTAATGTATTAGTTATTGTTATTTAAATGTTCTTCAAATAAGTTTCCTATTATATCGATGAAAAAAAATCTATTTCATTATTTTTCAGTGCATGAAAATATTTTGCGGGGAAGTTACTTTTCCGCACGATTTTTGTATTGTTGTAAATAAGGATATTTAGGACTCACTAAATGATCCATGTAATTATTCTGTCGTATGTGTCATTTTGTAGCATCATTATAAAATATTGTTTATTAAAAACTTTTTTTTTATAAATAATATGGACAAAAAAACTCGTAGGAAAAACTTTGTACCTAACTCTTGCGGAAAATGTATTTTTCTACAAGCGTGCGTGATTTATCCTATACGCAATTTAGTTTGGGAAGTGTCATTTTCCCGCAACATCGCGGGAAATTTTTTCCCACACTAGTGCGGGAAATTTTTTCCAAACAAAGTTATGATAATATGGCAAAATATAAGTGGTAGGTGATGGAATATGAGAGTTTGAGTTTGTTTGTTGCAGTATTAAATATGTATGTTCAGAATCATCCTACAAATTGTACTATTCATTGTGAAAATTAAGAAATATTGAAAAATAAAAATTGGATTGATCTGAAGGAAAACGATTATTGTTGTCATGCCAGTCAAACCTCAAATTAGCTTGTAATTGTCGAAATGACACAATGTGATCAAAAACGTCCAGCTATAGGGATGCGATACAGATACGTTATTGCCAACGAAGTCTTAACAAATGTATGAGAAGCTATATACACGCGTTTTATTGAATGGTGCAACAATAATGAAATGAAAATACCCAATAATAAAGAAGTATTTTTGGCTCATTTCCTAGAAATGTCTGAATCCTAGAGACCAAACACCTTATGGGCCTGATGGCTTCCGCAATTAACCTACATAATGCGTCAAACTGTGAGTTCACAATAGCTATTACTAACAATTAGTAGATAGAGAATATATTTCTCTTGTTAGTTGTTCCTATTTGCATGAATAATGAATTGAACAAATCAATCAATTCCCTACGCTTGTAGAAAAAATATTGTTCCTAACTCATGCGGAAAGTGTCTTTCCCGCACTCGACTGCTTGCCGGAACTCCGCTTCGCGTCGTTCGTGTCAACGGCAGTCGCGTGCGGGAAAGAATAACTTTCCGCACTTGTTAGGAAAATTACTATTTCCGTTCGTGCAACTGGCATCGCGTGCGGAAAAGTACTACTTTCCGCACTTGTTAGGTAAATAACTATAAATAGCGATATTCAAACCTACTATCACAATTGCCCAATCTTCACATATACCCCACTTCACTACCCAAATTTCAAACATCGATACAAAATAGCAACGAAGATACAGGGAGGGTATTTTGTTCCGGGTCACCTGGTTCACTGTCACTGTGAAAATTGGACATAAACTATCACATTGGGATTGAAAACCAGAGTTCCAAGCCTAACTATAACTTGGGTCCTCGAGTTTGTTCACATAGGAGAAAAAAACAAGCAAATCCAGAATAATTTGGGGAATTTTTACGAATATTTCATGCTCAAGTAGCGCCGCCTGGCGAAACTGAAAATGTAGGCATTCATATATATGGTAAGTTCGTCTGTAGTGTCCAGGAACACACAATGTTTTCCGAACATTAAAGGAATTCCCTTTCGAGCGCCCCAAGAGATGAAAAAGTGTATATCCTAAGTTATAATCAAGAGTGATTACCTTTTGACACAATCTCTGGGTACTCTGCGTCAAGTATGAAATATGGTGTTTATGATTCCTACTTTGCTTCTTGACCTTGTGCAATTCGTTGGATAAGGCATGTTGGGCATAAATAATTTTCGGCGATCTGGAGCTTGATGCTATAGTGCCATATGCTAGAGCTGAAACATTTACAACAGTATTATAAGGAAATATCCAAAACTTGGATTTCATATTGAAAAAATATACAGTGAAAGTATTTTGAATGTAGATTGCCAGTCACTCATCATTTTTAGGGTCCCATGATGTAAATTGACTTTGGTTTTGTGTATTGGCGTACCTGACCGTTACCACCGATACAACAAGGCCTGCATGCTCCGTGGGTGACGTCACTTAGTGAGGCCTAACCAGCGGCTCGAAACGACAAGCGCTTATAGCGCTATAAGGCGACCGCGTATTTCGATTTTAGTTTTAGATCATCATTGAGCCGATTTTGCTGTTTTTTGATGGGCTTCCGGTTAAAAAAGGATGCCAGTCGTCAACTGAGCCCTTCTTCGCACTCCATTCGATGTTATTATGGAAAAACGAAGTTTTAAAGCAAAAACCAGGATAAAACACAAATATCCACCTACAGCAACCCATTCGAATTAAATATATTGGCAAAAATTGTGGTGAAGGTAAACTTCACACCTACTTATACAGGGCCCGCAGAACATAAACTTATCGTGAGATTGATCGAAAGAAAATTGTGGAAAATGTATTTTATTTTGATTGACAAGCCGTTTGTTATAATTACCTATATTTATCTTGGAGAATTCCTATTACCTGAAAAAATAACCAGTGAGTGTTTTCAATTTTCTGTTGTTGGATTTTTCACCCAAGTGGATCGTTACACTTGAAACCGTAATTTTTAAGGGTAAAACTGCATTTATCATGCGATGGTTTTTTTTTGAAAAATTTTTTCGGTACTCACGTATTTTTGTCTGATAAACCGAATTTTATAATGAAAATGTGAACAAACCACTATTTATTGAGATATTTCAAGAAAAAGTTCGAAATTTCGCCTTCTTTTTCCCCTTGTGTTGGGGGCATTTGAAGCTACTTGCTCTTATTTTGTCATTGGACACTTTATATACTCATGATGTACTTCGATTGCACATTTTTATATAGAAAATTCAACAGGAAATATGATTTTTTATGGCGAGTTTTTCATATTTAGTGAACAAGCATTCCAGATGACGACCATTTAATCAATAGTCAATCAAAATACGAGATGTCAAATGTCAATAGATTGCTTTCGAATGACATTACACACGCCATTATTTTGAATGATATTCTTCCTTCTTTTCACTAAATATGGATTAATCTCAAGAAAATCATATTTATAGTTGAATTATATATAAATTGTCCAATATGATGAAAAAAGAAGGGAAATTTGTTCTAAATGACATCCAGAAGACAGGTGAAAAAGAAGGTGAAATTTGGAACTTTTTAGTCAAATATCTTCATGATAAATATCATGATAAATGCAGTTTTACCTTTTTAAGTAGAGTGTTTGTAGTTCATGTTAATATGATAGTTGCAATTTGATCATTGGAATGAATTCTGCATTCATTGCCACGAGGCAAATGACCGTTTTCAGAAAGAAATTTGAGAATGAGAATTAAAAATGCCCGTTTATTATGAACATTCAAGAAAATTTCCTCGAATTCAGATATGATTTTGTTGACTATAATATACGAATACAAAACACTGCACAATCAAAACTTTTCTATTTTTCCTCTACTTATACTTTTTATGAGAGAGTAATTGTCTTCTATTATTAATTCATCATTATAAATTAAGCTCTGTTTACTACTGAACTTAGATGGAGTAAAATCCTCGCGGTGAATTGCATATACCCACATTTTCGATAGCTCCTCGTCCAACGGGAAACTAAAAGCATGAACTTTTGAACCACCCACATAATTCCCCCGACAAAAGGGAACACAACACTTGAAAGGCATTGTTATTTCGCCGATCACAACACAAAATATTTCACAAAACAGTAATTTTTCCGCCAATTATTTTGATGAATAAACAACAAAAGAATTCGGGACCGTTTCAAAAACATACGAGAATCACCGATGAATTAACAAGAACTGACGCGTTAGTCGACAAGCGATAAAATAAAACACTGGCCTCTCTTGGTGACGTCACGAGCTGTTTACGTCAGAGTCTGCTGGCCTTGTTGTATCGGTGGTAACGACCTGACACGGCATTGCTGTCACGTCACATTTATAGGCGTTGAAAGAAATCTTACAAAATTTTAATTAGTACTTGATTTTAATACGATATTCAATACTGTTTTGGAAGGATGGTAAAATGAGCTGCGTTAGGCTGTATCAATCAGTTGGATGGGAAATTTGAATTTTTCACCTTTCTAACAAATGTAAGTGAACTTGGAACATGGAAAGGGAAGAGACCGAAATGGGAAAATTGGTAAATACATCAGCAAAATATGCAAGGTAAAACTATTACGAAATCACATATCATACCTACTTTCTCATTGTGCCTAATTATCCACTCCACAAGTTTTTGAATGCATTTTAGTTAGAAACAGTTTTGATCAGAACGGAGGATCAAAAGAAGAGGCATATGCCCTACCATTTCAGAAAATATGAAGTGTTCGTAAAACACTGCAAAAGTGATACCCAACAAGAATATATAAATATATACAGCACACATGAAATATGAGCACATTAGTTTAAAAAGCTACATCAAAGTTTTCACCATGAGGTTCAAAATTCACAAATATTATGATGGTGTTGAAAAATCAGAAACTCAAATATTATTGATCATCATTTGGATATAATATGTAGAGTTGAATAAGGAATTCCATGTGGAAATTACGTATGATACGCCAATGTCCTCAATATAACCTAAAAAACAACAAATGTCGGAAATCTAGTGTTTATCTCCAGAATTGAATGAGGATGGAAGTATATAACTGTTTCGCAAACACTTTAGAGTGAGAAACGAGGATCTGCCCGTACCCTGTTAAGATGACAAATACGTCAGTTTGCATCAAGGGACCCTAATCATGATGTACTTGGCCTCCAACTGAAATATATAGATATTGCTGTGCAGAAATGGTATCAAACTTGTGTAATGATGATATATTACATATTCGGCAACATTCAGTTGGAAGAAAATACGGAAATTCAAAATGACTGGGAGTCGATGTTATGAAATATATACCTACTACAAAAATGAAAAGAAAACATACGCTTATTTTCTATCGCGAATAGGAATTAATAATTAATTGTGGGCAGATATCCAACATGGATGTGGATGGAATGTGGATTAGTGATTCTACAGACTAATAAATGGCTTATTTTACGATAATCAACCACTATAACTCCTGGAAACAAGTTGAACATTTGGAGGTGACAATAATCATATATGAATAATATAACTGCATGAAAGTAAATGAACTTTTATATCTTGACTTATGCCCATATTTATTTTCTTCCAGGTGAAACGAAGACAATTATTCTTGAGTCCATCAAGCATAGATAGTATGTCACTAAAATTGACGGACAGCACAAACTCAAAAGAAAACACAAAGTCCAGATGGAGATTTCAGTGTTAGGGGGCGAATCGCTTATAACGAAACATCGTGAAGTGCAATTGAGTTCAGTTTTTAGTTGCTATCAAGTAACATTTCCTCTAGCATGTTTGTTAAGAGTTTATATGAATCTCGATTTCAACTTCTTCCAGTATATTCTTGACTGAGGGTATTTAAGGATTCTTACCTGATCTGTGGTCAATTTGTTCCTTGACTTTGGGTAAAATGTGTTCATCAAAGTGTTCCATGGCCATGCTGCTGAGATCACGGAGCTCTTGTAGCAATTGATGAGTTCTCGGAGGTGCTTGATCACTTTCCACGAGAGCCAGGACACTTTTCATTTCATCAAGTACCTGCAATAAGTGCTCTAGTAATACTAGTGATATAATATAACCAACTATCTTGACATATAGGGTTCATATACCAACAACCCACAACCTGATAGCCTCATCCGAATGGAGAACATGGCCGGTAGTGACAGATTTTTTGAAATGTTTTTTTATGTATGCAACTTTCAAGTACCCAATGATTTTCATGGAAACATGTCCTAGACAATTATCAATTTGTGCTCGCATGCAGCGGCGTCACCAATCAAATTGAATTTGCATTGAAAATTGCTGATTTCGAACGATAAGTAAATGCATGCAGATTGGTTCTTTTTGAAATTCGAAAAAAATTATATCGCGGAAAAAAATTGCATACTCTGCCCTCGTGTAGGAAGACCCGAAACTATCAACTGAACATGTCATGAAGAGGGGGTATTTTTGAACAATTATTTTTTAAACATAACGAAATGTTGAATAGCTCCTGAACATCATCTAGTCCAGCGTTACTCAGAGTACATTTGTATTTTCTGTCATCAAAGATGAAGCAGCAGTGAAGCGAGAAGATGTTATAGAAGTCATTCTGTCATCACGTGACGCCAATGGTGATACCACCAGACTACATAATACCAATTTTATATAATTTTGATGAGTATACTGTAACATGATGATCATTGTTTGATGTTGTTTGATGAAAGATGTTTTCATTTCCTGGAAAATGCCATTTCATTTCTAGATACCTACTTTTATATAAGGTCAATAATGACAGGTTCTCAGATATAAGAATGTGGCTCAATTCAGCCTGCATAGTGTATATAAAGAAATAAAAATCCTTAACCGCAATAGAATGGACTCTGAAAAAGTGGCCACTGTATCCCGCTCTCCCTAATCTTGGATTCTAAATTTTCATATTTTCAATATCCTGGATTATTTTTCGACGAAAAATGTCGACAGGTACCTAGTACACACTGTCCAAGATAAGAAGGACCAGTGTGGGTATCTTGGAATGGTTAGTTGAATCGGAGAAAAGTTACGCGATTGAAATTACATGGAAAATATTGAGAATTTTTTGATAAAGTTACTATTCGAATGAAAACCTCACTGTTTCAGGTTGCTGTCATTTTTTTTTTGTTATTACGTTGACATAACTTACATGTATATTTTCAATTAATATTTTATTACAAATGAGAGAAACTCAGAGGCATTACGAAAGTACGTCTTAAAGGCGTCTTTAAGACGTACATGTCGGGACATAAGTACGTCTTAATGACGTACATATTACGCCCAAGAGACGTCTTTAAGACGTCTTTAAAACGTACATTTTTCACTAATATGTACGTCTTTAAGACGTCTTTTTTAGGTGTTTTTGGTCCATGACATCAAATTGATCTTTCAAATTACGGAAAAATATCATAGTTCCAGATGATTTTCACCTGTGCACTGAAGTTAGCAACAAGTGCAGACAAGCAAAAAAAAAAGGAAATAAACGACTTCATCAAACGGTAGACACAAGCGGTCACCCATTCAAGTACTAACCGCGCTCTTTGTTGCTTGACTTCGATGATTATACCATATTCATTTAAATTCATTTATTCGTCTTTCTTCTCTTATCTACATAGACAATATCTAACAGAACAAACACTTGATATGATGAGAATGCATAAAGAACAATCCTTCACGCAGTGTGGAGTTGGCTGGTGTCAACCAGGGAGTGCTTGGTCTGCGATTAGAGTCTTGGCAAATGAATCCCATCTCCTGAAGCCATGCTCCTTACAATGAGTAATCTCCGAGGTGAACCCAGTTGGGTTAGGGGTGAATACAAACATTGGCATTGCTGGAAATTTTCTTGGTAAGGAGGAAAAATAAAAAGAAAAACCCTCTCTAAATCTCAGTCGCATCGGACTCCACGTTCTCTGCTAGCATATACCAGGAGAGAAACACTCCGGCCGCTTGTGTTTTCTGAATCAGATAATTGAAATTTTTCCTGAATGACAGACGTCTGTCCAATTTGACTCCCAGGTATTTCACCACTGGTGAGTCCGTCACCTCCACGCCCTTAACAGTCAAAGGTCGACGTAAAACATTATTAGTAAATTTTCTACTGAAGTTAATAACTTCAGTCTTTGTATTATTCACGCCGATCTTTGACTCGTCAAAATACGGTATGACTCCCCTGTCCAGATGAATCTGGATCTGTGTCCTGGCGATGTCCGAGTCGAACGAGTGCGCATATAGTGCGGTGTCATCAGCATACAGCGCCGTACTCGTCCTCTCGAACACAGGAAAATCATACGTGTAAATTGAGTACAGCAGTGGTGACAGACACGACCCCTGCGGGACACCCGCCTCAAGTGGAAAATCCCCAGAGACAGCGTCATTTACCTTCACGCGGATCTTACGGTTTCTCAAATATGAGTCGACAATCTTAATGGTGAAAATAGGCACCCTAGCCTTTGACATTTTGGACATTAGTCCCTCGTGCCAGACAGTGTCGAAAGCCTTTTCGACATCCATCATGACCATGACTGTATTTTTGTCCTGATTAAAGGCCTCTTTTACCCCGTGAACAATTCGGGCCACTTGGGACGTAGTGCTATGACCCTTGCGGAACCCGACCTGTTCTTCAGGGATCAGGTTCAAATCTACGACCTGGGCCTCAATCAGTCTGAGAAGAACTTTATCTACTACCTTGGCTACTACGCTGAGCAGTGATATAGGGCGATAGCTTCCTGGTCTTTTTGGGTCTTTGCCAGCCTTTTGTATTGGTACAACAAGCCCAGTCTTCAGACACTCTGGATAGTGCTGGTACTTGATGATGGCATTGATAATATAATGCAATTGTACTATGGCCTTGCGAGACAAGTTTTTCAGGAGAACTACGTCTATCCCATCGAGACCCGGCGCTTTATTAATATTAAAATATCTAATTATATTGTGTATTTCTTTCGGATTGCAGATTGATTTGCTCAGGACTCGACGAGATAAAGGCACCGCAGGCAAGGCCCTGATTCGAGTCGCTACGGCTAGCATGTCCTCTTGAACCGCCCCTTCAGGTTCTTTGTTGATCTTGTTTACGGTTTGAAAGTGCTCTCCAAGCACCACTGCCTTTTCCGGATCTGACACCGCCTCCCCACGATCACACTCCAGGGAAGGAACCGGGGTGAATTTTCGCTTCAGCCTCTTGGTCATCTTCCACAGAGTGTTGTCGCGGGGATCTAGAGTCTCCACCTTGGACCTCCAGGTGGCATTCCTGAACTCTCTGATTCTGGTCTCTATAAGTTGAGACATACGATTGAAGTCCTCCCTTGATTGGGGGGTCTTCAATCGTTGCCAGCGTCTTCTCAATGATTTCTTCTCAGCTATGAGTTCAAGAATGTCCATCGGGAGTGTTTCCTTGGCGGAGTTGATGCTGACCAATCGTGTCGTCTCGTTTCTTGCGTGGATTATTGCCTCACAGAATTTAGTGGTTTCGTCATCAATTCTTTCAGCTGTTATATCATTTTTGATTTCGATTTTTTCGTCAAGCCGAGCTCTGAACCCCTGCCAGTCTGTAGTTTTATAATCATAAATCTGTTTTTTCTTGTCAGGAATTCTTTCTCCAAAACTATACATTACTGGCAGGTGATCAGAGCTCAGCTCGTCAATGACTGTGAGGCCTGAAAGTGAGGTGACATTCTTGGTCAGCACCACATCTATTATGGACGGCGTCATTCCGTTGAAAGGGTAGTGCGTGGGAGTATCAGGGTGGTCCAACAGGACATTTGCAGCCTGCAAATACCCCCTCAGAATCCTCCCATTAGTGTTGCTTCCCTTGTTCCCCCAATCAACATGCCTCGCGTTGAGGTCACCTCCTACGATGACTTTATTACCAGCACTAAACAGAGCCTCAAGGCTCTCTTCTGAGAGCCTGAGACTGGGCCTGTTGGAAACTGAGAAAATAGTTTCTCCACTCAGCAGCCTCACGCCAGCATGCTCAACAGAACATTGTCTTCGCGAAACTACCGAGTGAGGAATGCTGTTCTTGATCAGGATAGCTACCCCTCCATACCCATCCGCGTCAGGACGATCTGCCCTGATAGTAGTAAATCCTCTCACACAAAAACGATGATCAGGACGGAGTTTGGTCTCGGACAAGAGAACAATGTCCAAACTGTGGCGATATACAAAGTTAACGAAACTAGGCATCTTACCATTGATGCCGTTTATGTTAATATTGCATATCTTGAGGCCTATTTATTACCATATTCACTTCTTCTGTTACTCTGTTTGTTTTATATATCACATAACAAGCTTTTACTTAGTTAAACATGTCCTTGTGTCTGTCTGTAATCAAAACGTGCAAGTTAAATTTGACTCACTTTAAATCGTCCGATTGATTTGAAATTTGGCAAGTAAATATTATTCCGGTGACAATTCGTTGTGATATTATTATTGAATGGAAAAAACAGAATGGCGGATCCAATATGGCAAACGATTTTCTCATTGATTATGTTCCGATTCGAATCAAAATTCAATATTCTAGATGGTGAATCCAATGTGGCATATGGTTTTCTGATTATGGTCTGATCTGATTCAAAATTGGCATCTGAAGGATTTCGGGATCAGAGATCATAATTCCTTTTGTCGAAAATGAAAAATCCAAGATGTCGGTTTTGTGATTATAGTCCGATTTTATTCAAAATTGATTACTATGGGACTTTTGGGGTCGGAGAATATGATTTTTTTGTAAAAATTCGAGAATCTAACACGAAGGCTCCAAAATGTCGGACGAAAAAATTCAAAAACATCACTTTTGTTGAAAATAAGAAAAAACTGAACAATTGAAGATAAAGAACGTGAAGAGATGACATTTTGTTTTTCTTCAGAAAATAACTTACATTATTGTTCTATAAGTCGAATTGACGTACTGGAATGTACGTCTTTAAGACGTCTTTTATACGACATGGGAGGAACGACGTGGATACGACCTAAAATGTACGTCTTAAAGACGTAAATTCGTGTACGTCTTTAAGATGTACATGGATTTACATCTTAAAGACGTACTTTATACGTCCCTGGACGTAAAGACGTAAGTAAGTCGTAAAATGTACGTCTTTAAGATGTCTGGTGCTGATTGGACAATAGTTCAAAAAAAGAACGAAAATGGTAGATATCGAGAGAAAAACAACTACTTTCCTGGCTATATGCCACGCAAACATTGGATTACATTCGCCCGAAATCTATGCAATAATTCGTATAGACGAATAAAATTGCAAGTGTTTCCATCCTAAACGCCGAGCTGCGCCTAAGTGGTTCAGGAACGCGTGACTACCTGCAGATCGGTTTCGAGCTATTGGCTCTCATCAGTGCAGGGCTGTCCCATATAGCATTCTTGACCGCTATCTGGTGCGAACCTGACCCAACGTATGGCAGGATTTCTTGAACTATTTATCATTATGTGGATGTGAAATAAATTTACCTTGCCAGGAATAAAGCAGAGAAGACCACTCTCTATATACTTTATGTAAGTCATGTTGAGCATGCTGATTCTCGTTTCCACGGCTTGTAGAATGTCACAGTGTCTCGAAAGTGGGTGGGCTCTCCTCTCAGACTCCCTTCGGGGCAACAGGGATCTGACTCTCTTGTAGATGAAGGAGTGTTTCTTCTCGAGCTGGATGAAACCTCTTGAGAGCATTTTGCTGCCTATCTCATTGAATTTTTTACATACCTGTAATCAGTATACAAGTAATTACTGACTCGGTTAATCAAGAAGCTGAAATATTCATTTCTTCAGATTTTTTTGATTTTCTCTAGGTTTCTATAAATAAAAATATGAGTATTATTTCAATATGAAGAATATTTCAAAATATCAAATTTTCACTGATAGATTTTGAATTCACCATTCCAGATTTTAGGAATGAATATCATATTCTATCTATATCAACTGAACAGGAAACAATGTTATTATCTGAAAAAATAAAACTTGTTGGTGATAAGTTCTAAGTGAAAACTGTGTTCAAGACTGAAAATACATATAATGAGATCAATTCCTAAGCTCAAACAAAGCCGAAAAATGAAAAACATTCATCAAACAATGGTATTCACAGATACCTTGTACCTATTTCTGGAAAGTATTACACATGTGAAACATAGAGACCTCTCTCAGTAAAGATAAAAGAACCCCCAAGAACAATATAAAGGTGAAAACAAAGAAAATATAATCTTCGATCGTTCCCATTTCCAGGTTTGGCATCACAATGAATGAATTATTTTTTCTAGTAGCGTGCGTGTTGAAAGTCACTTTTCCGCACTGGGTGCGGAAAAAAGTTTTTCCGTACGCAGTTTTGGAAGCGCCTAGAACTGCAAACTTGGATCTACTACCATCAAAATCCTGTCACAGGCATGAAAAGGAATATAGTTTGTTTGAATACTGGTGCCAGAATAAGGGAATCAAAAGTTTCGAAGAAGACGTTTTCTTGGCTTATTTCGCTGAAATTTTCAAAACATGCAAGCCAAACACTCTTTGGTCCAGGTACTCAATGATAAAAAGTGTAATCAAACTAAAAAAAAAACTCGATTTGAGCAAGTTTTTTGAGGTCACGGCATATAAAAAAAAACAAAACATTGGATTTAGGCCAAAAAAAGGAAACATTTCTTGAAAGAAAAAATAATATTCCAGTTTATAAATGAAGCACCTGACGAAATTCATCTTCATAAAAGTATTTAATAATAAATGTTTCTTCATGTTAGCACTTGGGTTTTTTCCGCACGCTAGTAGAAAAAATAGTGTACCTAACACGTGCGTAAAATGACTTTTCCGCACGCGATTGCAGCGTGCTAACGCGTCGTTCGGCCATCATCAACGAAAAAAAAAAAGTTGATGAAATGACCCATCATGTAGATACTATGAGGAGGTTCTAATCGTTATTTTTTCAAGAGCTTTTTTTCAAAATAAACTCGAAATTTGGGTACCAGGAAATTATACAAAAAAAAGCCTTCGAAACGATCACGAGTCCGTAGGACGAGTCATTTATTCTGGCAACTGACAAGAAATATATAATTTCAAGAAATTTCTAGAATTATCAATGAATGTGGCAAGAAAATGTCAGTGGAATTAATTAAAGCAGTATATTCGGTAATATGGAATACCCTATTTTTGACAAAACAACAAGCGTCATCTATTCCAATTTGATATACAGTGCTAGTCAAAAGTCCCCTCCCCCCCTCGTATCTTTTGAACGGGTATACTTATAATAATGAAATTTGGAGGGTGGAAATAAACTATTGCGTCACCTGTTATGACCAGTTGAGAAGCCTACATCCGTTTATTTCCACCCTCCAAATTTCATTATTATAAGTATACCCGTTCAAAAGATAGGAGGAGATATATCATTCCATTGTGATCATAGTTCTTCTTCAAGTGTGTTTATTCACTAGAGTCTCGAGATCATACCCGTGTGTTCACCGAACACGCCCGACTGTGGGGAGACGTAAACAGGCAGCAGTATTAACTACGTTATGAATATTGGCGCGTGCCAGAATTATTTTGGAGTCAAATTTGTCAATTTAATGTACTTCGAAACGGAACACTAGTAGTTGTGCCTTATTCTTGTTTTACATATATTATAGGTAGACATCAAATCAATAAACATAGTGCTCTCGCCATCGGTATTTGCTGAACTTCGCTATGGGAAAAATGTTGAATGAATAACTATATACAGGGTGTTTCATAATTGAATGTCAATATTTGAGGAGGCGATTCTCGGGCCAATTCTAAGAATGAAGTTTCATATGAACGTATGACCTAAACGTCCTAACTTTTGAGATACAGGGTGGTAAAGTTCTCAAAAATTAATATTTTTTTATCAATATCTGTAATACTACTTCAAATATTCTAATGAAATTTGGCATACATGTACTATGTATCAAGAGGCATCAGTAAGTGTACCACATTTTTGTTGGTTGCCACCAGTGGCGTTCGTATGGAATTTCACATACCTATTTTGGCAGACATTGATGGTACGCCACTGATTAATCTCGAAATTGAAATCTTTAATGAAATTCCCAATCGTTTCTTAGCAAACTTGATCACTACAATTCTTTCGATCTGATGCACGGTTTTCGCTTAAAAAAATAAAAAGCTTTTCACTACATGATTATAACAATATCGTTAATATGACAATATCACAATGCAGAGGAATAGATTTGATTTTTTAGATCAATTTCCAGAAATACAATTCATAGTTTATGAACTTCGTATTCGTATTTGGTATTTTGGAATTATTTCTTTTCATTGTAGTAGGCTATATTAATTTTTGAGAACTTGACCACCCTGTATCTCAAACGTTAGGACGTTTAGGTCATACGTTCATATGAAACTTTCTTCTTTGAAGGGGCCCAAGAATCGCCTCCTCAAATATTGACATTCAATTAGGAAACACCCTGTATATTGGGATGAAGAATGATCTATACAGGGTGTATCTAAATAACACCGAAATAATTATTCAAGGGGTGATTCCTTGTGATATTAATATGATGAATAAAGGTCATATAAACATATGTGTCCTAAACTTGCTCTTCGTTTTCGAGGTACAGGGTTACGTCCTGATTTCGAATCCGAAGTGATTTTCAACCTATCTTGCCTCCTAATATCATTTCCCGGAAATGTTGGTGGGTCCATGACCCGAGCAGTGTATTTCACTGAAAATTACGTCACTTTGGTCATAGTTGGTATATATATCTATCGCTCCTGAAAATTGAACAGTTACGACGTTGTTAGATATACGGGTTGACACCATTAGAAGTGACATGCACACTGTTTATATTTTTAAATACACCCAGTGGGATTGAATTTTATTTTATGTTGAATATTAAGAGTGTGTTTTTTTATGTGATTTATTTGTTTTGTTTATTTCAAATATGTACATTTTTTTAGTAGGCATACTGCTAGTACTACTTCTTTTATATACTTCTGAAATCCAATCCACCCTGTATTCGTTTCAATTAAATGGCATCAGTAGATAGTTAATAAAATGTTAGGATAGGGACACATGTAAGCCATTTTGACAAATCAATATAGGTATTGTATAGTTTCGATACAAAAAAAATCTCGATTTTTCACATTCTACGTATTGGCATACCTTGAGCTTGATCAACGAAATCATAGCTCAATAAATTAGAAGAATCGAAAAATGTAATAAAATATAAGGTGTTCCATTTTGAATAACAAAGCTACTACTACTACTACTAACTACTAATAATAATTTCTAGTGAAGCAGATGAACATTATCGAAAATAATTTGAATAAAACGGGCGGCCTCGCCAACAAAACATAAGCATATAACATGTACATATAGTTTCATGATTTTCGATGAGTGATGGTTATTCGCTATTTACATGTAGGACTCGTCATGACATAGCGAATTATTGCAAATCAAATCATCGCTTTCATTATCTGATAGGTCACAGTAGATCACTTGATGCCTATCAAATGTTTCTTATTTATTCGAAAAAAAAATGTTGAAATGTGATCAACAAAACTGTTGGTGGCCCACCCCGTACTACAAAAACAGAGACAGCATGAGAGAAGCTGCCTGCCCACATTGTATCATGGATCATGGTTGCCTGCTTACGTGCTTACGTCTAGGTCTCCCCACCGCTTAGGTAACGATCGGGCGTGTTCGGTGAACACACGGGTATGATCTCGAGACTCTAGTTGTTTATTCTATAGGTATCCATCGTTTCTGACAGTTTCAATACTTGATAGAATTTCGGTGCTCACGAAATTTTTAGGTGAGTTTATCGAATTTAAATTTCAAACACACTCATTATGCTTCATCTTATTGCCCTCAGTAAGATATTTAAAAAATGGTTCGAAAGATTTAGGCAGATCTAAAAAATTCCTTATAACGGGATAATGCAATACAGGGTGATTCAAAGACCAATGTGAATATTTCAAGGACATATTTTTGGGATCAAAATATATCTGTTGAACAACCAAAAAGAGAACATGAAAATACAAATTTTCTGAAATCGAGAATTAACATTCTCTTTCAAATCGGATAAATAATATGATTTATAATGATATGAAAAAATAACTTAGCAATATTTTCAGTATTGAAATGAAAATTTAAATGTATAGGCGCAGCTATTCATTTAACTGTGGTATAGGAGAAGTATACTTGTATAAACTGATCTTGATAAGCTTGAAACTTCCAAATTTTATTCGTTTCAGTGATATGGAAATAATATTATCTCTGACGAACAGGTTATATGACTTGAATTTATTTCCTCCTCAGTAACCTGAAGTCTAGTTATTCTTTGAGCCTATACATTTTTTTGTTGATTTGTGAAGTGCAATCAATTCTAACTCCATATCACAATTGATAATTTGACTGACGTCCAATTGAGAAAATACTCATATCATTTGAAATGGCCGTGAAAGGTATTGTCTCAGTTGGAAGTACAGTTGTATTAAAAAAAGCCTACAAGTATTATCGAGTGAAATTAACGTGATAACATTTGCGTAAAACGGGCTATCGGGAATAATTATTGTTTACCAAATGTTCACAGTTGTCATATGTTGTCAAAAAAACAAAGCATTGGCCAGTTTTACATAACTAGAACTAGTATGATTTTTTTTCTTCTACCTTAATGGCCATGGACATTAGTCCTTCAGCCACACACAATTCGAATTTTTCGTTTATATTTCGATATCGTTTTCTGTTATGAATTTGACCAATAGGTCAAAAATGTTTTTGTCCCCTGTAGTGTAATTTTTTTATTTTTTTTTCAAGCAGAATAACTGAGATATTGGTTTTATGAAAAAATCTGGGACACTAAATGACCTTTCAACTGTACAGGTCTTCCAAGGTAAGCCTTCTTAATATCAGAAAAAAAATCTGTTTTCGGAAGTTCTTGGCGCAAAGTGAGCGTTATCAAAAGTAATATCACGATGTTCTGAACATTCGAGATAATTCTAATAATGGCCATGGACATTAGTCCTTCAGCCACACACAATTTGAATTTTTCGTTTATATTTCGATATTGTTTTTTGTTATGAATTTGACCAATAGGTCAAAAATGTTTTTGTCCCCTGTAGTAAGCAATACGGTAGCTGAGCCCCGACAACTAGGATGATGTTAACCTCTTATAGGGTGGTTCAGGGGTAGTCTGACAGAAGTTGACTTTGACACAATCGCTTGAAAGTCATTTGGGTTTGACAAGTTTTAATTTTTAATTTTTCTTTCCAAGCAGCATAACTGAGATATTGGAAAAGATCTGGGACACTAAATGACCTTTCGACTGTACATGTCTTACAAGGTAAGGCAACAAGGATCTTCAAAGCCTTCATAATTTCAGAGAAAAAAAAATGTTTTCGGAAGTTCTTGGCGCAAAGTGAGCGTTATCAAAAGTAATATCACGATGTTCTGAACATTCGAGATAATTCTGTCCCTTCATTGTTCTCCATATTGTGTTACGGGAATACAATTGAGTTAACAATGAACGACAGAATGGGCGAGTAGACTTATAATGAATTATTGGAATTCAATTACTACACCTGGGCCCGATTCTTGAATCTGTAGGAATTCGATCCTATAGGAGAATTATCCTATGCTTTCAGTTCCCATAGGAAATGATAATTTGTCATGACACCTATTCTTGAACCAGATGGAGTAATTTTTCCCAGGGGATTGAAAAAGTGCCGTATGTCGCAGATAGATTCTTGAGCTTACATGAATTCACCAATGAAATAAGTGCAATCTATGTTGGTAACTGGTGGATGATTGAAATAAAATGTTGACATTTTGATTTTGACTAATTTTGAGGTTATAATATAATATAATTTTGCGATGGAGAGATAATTGTTTATTGTATATTTACTATATTTCCTCTGATCGAAATGAATATGGATACAAACAATATTAAAAAACTACGAGGTGGTAGTATTAGCAAAGAGCAGGACTTGAGGAAGGGAAAATTTCACCCCCAATTCACTTATAAGGATTTTGAAGTACCTATCAATTCTCTTGTAATGTCTTTGGACAAACGAAAAACTTTAATAAATTGTGCAGCAGACAAACACTCAAATGGGTCCCTTCTTGGCAAAAACCTCCTTCTTGGTCTTCTAGCAAGGATTTCAGCCACTTCCAAATTTTTTAAAGCCTCTAGATGATCTATTTCATCTATGTTTGTCATGTTTTGCAATACATATGTTTTTCTGATTTTTCACTAGGGTTCAGTTCCCATCACAAATGAGAATAACTTCGTATTTCATGAGTGTATCCTATGGAAAACAAGTTGTTCCCATGGATATCACCATGGGAAGCAGTTCTCTCGAAATGTGTAGGAATAGTTTCCCATACAATAGTTCAAGAATACATCGTCGCAAATTTCCATGGGAAATATCGAGTTTTTCCCATGGGAACGAATTCCAATGGATTCGAGAATCCCACTCTGTCGTTAGGGGCCTACATTAATTTCTGCAACACATCTCACACTTTTTTTATGTAAATAATGAGTGTCTGCGTGATTCGAAATTGTTGAATTTCGTAGCTCATTCCAAACGTACCGTCATGGCCACTATTTTGCAATACGTCGAATAAATGGTGACGTCAGCTTTTATGCTGTTTCGTTATTGGTCAGATAATCTTCCATTCCCACTCACGATGCAAGGTTGTCAAGTCACCAATTATAATCAAATTTTCAAAAAGATGTAAGTCTTGTCGTTGAAAAGAACATAGTAGAAGGAACCCATGATATTATAGTTCATTCTTGACTGTTTCGAGCAATTTAAAGTTTTTAACTGGTATATATGTATATATTTCTTGAAACTTCAACAACTAAATTTGATATTGAAAATGCTCAACAATATAACAGCAATCATCAATCAATGGTAGGCATAATGTCATGTCGTTCACCCTATTGATTGAATACGGCTAGACAAACATCCTGTTGAGTTAACAATCCTTGAGGTCCTCTTGAACTTGCCACCACTACAAATATACATTCAAGGCGAAGCCAGAGCAGTCGTGAGTAGATTGTCCAGGGGTCAAGCACCCATAAGCAACACGCACGGTAAAGACTACAGGAAGCTATATTATTATGAAGAGTTGGAAAGCGACCCCATCATGGGAATGCCAACAGATGGCATAATTCCAAAATATAGCTTCGAATACAACTTTTTAAATCAGTGTTGCCAGCTTAGTGGATTTCACACTAGAACTGGTGGTTTGAGTTCTCGAGAAAGTAGTTTTAACTGAAATCAGTTTCTAACGGTTATATCAACTTTTGGCTGTTTTTGTACGATCTCAAATGTTGGTTTTTATTTCTTGTTTTGAAAGTAACATAATAAACTTGAGTACATCATTGATGGTATGAATAATTTATTTTGTTCGTTTTGTTTCCTGTTAAAAAAAACTGTTTTTACCTGATCTGATTTTTATCTGGTTTTACCTAGTGATCTGAACTGAAGTGGTTTTACCACCAGAAAATTACTAGATTTTCAAGAATGTTTGCCGGTGGCGCATTTTTTTTTTCAATTCCACTCGGTTTGGTGTTTTTTAGTAGCCAATTTGCGACTTTCGGAAATGTGAGTTGGCAACACTGTTTGAAATAAGTATAACGGACAGAGGCATGGAAGGAAGGACCTCCTGTCAATGCAGACATCGCTGTCTATAAGGACGGAGCTGGTATTTATAGTGGTATTTATGGGGACCAAGCCAAAGAAAAGAATCTGAGTGGGCTTAGGAAAATACGCGACGGTGTTTCAGGCAGAAATTATAGCAATAAATGCAATACATCATTGCGTAAAAGAATTGATAAGGCAAGAGTTTAAAGGGAAAACCATTGCAATCTATTCGGATAGCCAGGCGTCTCTGTTTATGTTCGGTGGCCAGGCGGCAATCAAAGCAGTTAACTCAAAGCTAATATAGGACTGCTCAGAAACCCTAAATGAACTGGGCAGTCAGAACAGACTGACTCTAGCATGGGTACCAGCACATGCAGGGTACGAGGGCAATGAAGAGGCAGACTCACTTGCCCGAGCAGGAGCAAACATAGCTCTGAATGGCCCAGAACCCTTTTGTGGTATTGCGAGAGCAATACAAAAAACAAGTATCAAATCATGGATGCAAACCAAATCTCAAGAATGGTGGAACAACTCGCCAGGAATGAGACAGGCAGAATAGTTTATTAAAAAACCATCGACAACATTCACAGAATATCTACTGAGCCAGAAACGAAGTACAACTAGAATACTAGTGGGACTCACAGGACATTGTGGGCTCAACAAACACATGAGTACGATAGGTCTGACTGAAGAACTGCTGTGCAAGTTTTGTCAGGAAAAGGAGGAAACAGCAGTACACATACTTTGCCACTGTGAGGGCTTGTCAAGACTAACGTTCCTTACGCTGGGTGAGGAAAAACCAAAGTTACACAGGGATCTGAAAGCTAGCCTATGGAGTCTCATAGAGAAGGCGGGGCTAGCCAAAAAACACTAAACGATTTTGAGGGCAGACACAATAGGTCTGAGAAGGTCGCGGTGTGGAGGCAGATAGCCCGAAGGCTCACTCTAAATCTAATATAATCTAACAATCCTTGAGATGGTCAAAGAAATATCCAATTTATCATTTTCACATTTTTATTTTATTCAGTCATTAAAAAGTATTGATAAAATCATATAATGTAAAATTATTAAATAAGTTATATTTGCATAGTGAATAAGTGAATTCTCTCTTAAATTAACGTTTCTACAATTAGCATTAATATTTCTGTTTAGTCAACTGTCAGGCACTAAAAGATTTATATTGGCATCACTAACAACCGAATTGGCGAATTTCTGTTCCCCCCCTCTTATGGACAAGCTGTGCGCTGCAGTAACCAGTTTTTCCTTCATCATCCCAGTTTTTTCCCACTTGCCACTTCCGCAATTCGTGCAAGGCCTAGTCGGTATGATTTCTAAGCTAACGGTCCTATTGCCACAGTTTCCGCACTTGAAGAACCTCTTCATTGCATCGAATACTCTCAGCGGATGTCTTTCCGTTTTACATAAATCCGAAGCTGAAAAGCTGGTATACTTGCACTTGAGGCATTTCACGGCTTTGCACGCCATTTTGAACGTATTCGTCATCTTCTCCTCCATTTGTTCTTTGGCTTCCAACTTGTTGAAGTATTTCTCTGCTGCTTCTTCGTCTCTAGCTTCCAATAAATCCATATGGCTCGATGTCATCGCCATCATTTTTTTGAATCGATCTGAAATAAACTCGCTCTCAGCAAGTTTGCTCTTTTTTGCGGAGCTATTTTCAGTGATTTCTTCGATGGCTCTTTTTTTGCCTGACCCTCTTGTATTATTCGGATCAGCTTTTTCAATAGGGCCACTTTTTTTAATCAACTTGATAGCGTTCAATTTAGCTTTGGTCATCTGTCTCGACATTGGCTTGTTCAAGTCTATCATTTTTCCTGGCTCAAACCCCGATAATTTTGGAAAAGTGAGGGCGGGTGATTTGTTGAAAAGGAAAGTGGATTTAGTTGACTCTGCTTCTTTAGGAATATGGATGTTCATTTTTCCATTACTCACGGAAGCCTTGGGTGAAGATTTCTTATTGGCTGGTGTTGTGGAAGTATTATTTTTGGGAGCTTTGTGTGTTTTTGATTGCAGTTGTGCTATAGAATCATCATTATCATCATCGTAGTCCAAACTCTCGAATTCTGCGAACTCCTTATCCACACTGAAAGAGTTGTCAGGTAGGTTGTTGTCAAGGGGTTCATTAATTTTAGTTTCCTCCGCTGAATTGTTCTCTGCAAAATCTGTCATTGTAACATCCATTTTCTTAGCCTTTAATTTATTTATTACTGAGAGAGCAGTGCTTTTGGATTCCTCCAAAGAAATACCAGAAGAATAGCTAACAGACAAGTCGATTTTGTTTTCATTTTTCTCTATTAATTTATCATCATTAGTTTTCGCCTTCAGTTTACTTATCACAGATGTAGCAATGTTTTTAGATTCTTCCAAAGTAATTTCAGTAGAACGATTTCCAGAAAAGTTATTTTTATTCTCGATTTCTGTCAAGCCACCTAATTTTTTCAATAATTCTATATCTTTCATTCTCTGCGCTTGAGGCACATCTAACTTTGAAGCAGCTTTTCTTTTAGGAGCTGGTTTAGTCTTTGCTTTCGCACCTTCAATACCATCATTTTTACCACTCAAGCAGTTGAGACGATTTGTATCCATCTGATCCATTTTTCTACTTTTTTTGGCAGGTATCGCCATGTAAGATTTACCAGCATAAAAAACTTCGTTTTTACCTAAAACCTTGTTCCTAAGGGCTGTCAAACCTCTTCCAGCAAAATTTGATTGTAATTCCGATCTCTGACTACATTTTTGGTATTCCTGTTTTATATGATACAAGCAGAATTCACAACGGTTTTTGTTCACGATAGCCGTACATTTCTCCCCACTTTTCTTCATGCTCTTACAAGTTCCAAAATCCTTTGATTGGCCGAATATCATAACTTTCTGGTGAGTATCAATACTTAGACATGCCTGAAAATAAGCAAACCGATGAAAAATCAAAAGTCCTATTTATATTTGTACACTGCCTTGCGAAACAAAAAGGTTATTGCAAATTATTACTGACATTTTTATAAAGAAAAAATTACTCATCAAATCTTCATACTGCCTTGAAACACTAATGCACCTGACCTGGGGAAATAGGAAGTGTCATAGATGTAGGCTTCTTTCGATTGAAGGCTCTAGTACTAGAACATAGCTAACAGATTAGGGCACTTCTACAAGCCTTCTTAGAAGGCTGTGGCACCTACAATAGAACTTTTATGTCACAGTGATAAAGAGACTGTTGAGGCTACAGTCATAAGTAAATATTCTCATCACATAGAGAATGCGAATTTTCAATGTATCACTTTATATAAATATATATCCATTTTTGAATGTTCATAATTTATCTGAGAATATTCCTTTTCAACTATATTCAACAATTATTTTTGAAGGGGACTCAAAATTATCGGTAGGTACCATGGATTATATTCAGGCTGGCGATGAACAAGTTCAAAACCAATAAGGAAACTACAACTTGACTTGTGTAAAAACCTCACGGTTTTCGAGATTTTGGAATTTACGTACGAAAGCGTAGAAAGGCCACTGTCGTGTGTATTTAATTTTATTTGTTTATTGAGACTTTTTTTCTGAATTCAGACTTTTTTCTCTGAATTCAGACTTTTAGCTGAATTCAGACTTTTTTTTCTGAATTCCGACATTTTCCTGCCTGAATGCCTTCGATCATACAACATGGGGTTTGTTGTTCGGAGGTGAATGCAGACTTCCCTTCCATATGTGTATACAGGGTGTTCCAAAAATTCACGGTAGATCACAGGCACGTGCTCCTAAATATATAAGTATATATTTTTATCTCTTGGAGCGCACGAGAAGAAATTTCTATTATGTTCCAAGAACATCGTGCGTGGCTATATGAAGGAAAGGGAGAGGAGGTACCTAGCTGTTGGAATTTTTTTTAATTTGTGGAGGTTATGAGTACTTTATTTATTTATTTAATAATTTATTTGAAAAGATTACAAACAGGTTTATGAAAACCTACTTACATGTCTCTTTCAACTTAATATAAATACCTACATAACTAAATGCGTGACTAAGAAAGAAAGGAAAAAACAGATAAGACGAAAAAAATTTTTAAACAAGGAGAAATAGATGTATATTAATAACGAGTGAATGAGGCTGGAAAAAAACGATTAAAATGATATTATGTTCTGAATTCCACCATCATTGCTTGGCGTATAGAATTTTTGAATGAAGCAAGAATCATACTAAAAAGATCAATGTGTACTAATCTTTCCGAGAACTTATTATATAAAGCGCACATATTGTCAATTCAATTATTGTTTATTCTGGATAGTAACAGGATACTTTCTGTATCATGACTTATTAATTTGAAAACAAATGTCAATCTCTGAATCACCCTTCTCATTTCTAACTTGCGCAAATTCTAATTTGCTACCTATAAGTGTGAAATATAGCAGAGATATGGTTTTGATATTTTCAAATTCGTATGTCGACCGTTTTAGGAAACATTGTTTATGTGTTCCTCAAACTTAAATGAATTTTGAAATGTAACTCCTGAATCCTTGATGTCAGTGAGTTTTTCTAATCTTCTGTTATTTATCAGGTAGTTGAATGTTGGCAAAATATTCCAAAGCTGTGCCGTTCTAGGTATGGACGAACGAGTTCTGGTATAGTATTGTTCGACATATTTCAAGACTGACAACGAAAGGATGTGCTGACTGGGCTTGTCGTCTAACTGGTATTACCATGGTGGATGTAATGATAGCAGAGATTTCTAAGGAACATTTTCCCGTGGAAGTACCTATGAGAAAGTGAAAGGTCGTCGACTTTTCTACGGTGTTCTAATGAGGTCAAAGGATTAGTGAGTGTGGCATCACCCACCATGCAAGTTGCTCTTCTCTTTATGGAATCTAAGAGCATCAGCACAGTTGAAAGAATCAAAATATTCAGCGTATATTATTAGGGTTCTGATCCCCATAATATGTGAGAATAGTATTCTAACACAATATGTATGAAGAATGAAGACGCTTCGTTCCTATATAGGGAAACATCAGGAACGATTTTTTGAATTACAAATGTTGTTGAAAATAGTGACTTTGATGAAAGTGTGATATGTTATAGTCATTTTATATTAATAATTGGGCATGCATGTATAATATGGAAGTGTTTCCATAGTTTCAGATGATTATTAGCCGATTGCAGGGATATATTTGTACTGATATTGTTCTCACGCTGGTGTGTTTATGATTGAAATGTGAGTTGAGGATGTACTAGAATTGAATGTTATTTCATCTGCAAGGAATACGCGCTCGTGATTTTTTGGCGTTTACTTTAGGATCACCCTGTTTACACATACACATATGACAGGAAGTATGAATTCAGAGAAAAACGACTGAATTCAATGAAAAATGTCTGAATTCAGAGCAAAAAGTCTGGATAAAGAAATAAAATAAAATACGCACAACAGTGGCTTTTCTATGCTCTTGTAGGAATTTTCAGATCATAGATAGATAGATAAAGAAGGGTCCCGCTGATTTAATCAGTGGCTGCTCCTCAGAGGAGGCATCGGAGTCTGAGCCTCCTCAAAAATTTCGTTACCTGGAATAGTTCGATACACTTGTATAAATTATTACACTGAAATAGCTGATATCAAGTGCGCTTCAAGAGATTAAAAATATATATCTATACAGGGTGATTCAAAAGTAAGCGGCATCCTTTCAGAGGCGTATTCCTTGCATGAAAATAAGGCAAAAAGTTCCTATTGATAAGGATCCGAAAATGCTTCCTAAGGGAGCTACGGCCCTTTGAATAGGACACCTCAAAGACGGTTTTTTCTCTATAACTTTAAAATCCTTCACAACAAATTTTTAAAAATTGGTGTACGGCATAAACATTCGATGGTAAATAAGACTCCGTATTCGAAATAATTTCCAAACGAAATCACAGTAACCTGAATATCCGGAGAAGAAGGGATATTTTTACACTTACCCTCTCCCGCATGTGACGCCCCTGAATGAAATTCTGAAATTTCGAATACGGAGTCCTATTTACCATCGAATGTTTATGCCGTACACCAATTTTTAAAAATTTGTTGTGAAGGATTTTAAAGTTATAGAGAAAAAACCGTCTTTGAGGTGTCCTATTCAAAGGGCCGTAGCTCCCTTAGGAAGCATTTTCGGATCCTTATCAATAGGAACTTTTTGCCTTATTTTCAAGCAAGGAATACGCCTCTGAAAGGATGCCGCTTACTTTTGAATCACCCTGTATATTCAGGAATATGTGCCCGTGATCTACCGTGAATTTTTGGAACACCCTGTATACACATATGGGAGATAAGTCTGCATTCACAGAAAAATGTGGGAATTTATAGAAATAAGTCTGAATTCAGCAAAAAAAGTTTTAATTCAGAGCAGAAAGTCTAAATAAAGAAATTGAATAGTTCGATATATTTGTATAAATTATTATCCGGAATAGCTAACTCACGTTCGTTTCATTGGTTTTATCTCCTGATATCAATTAAAATTAAGGTAAATTGGGTTCCGGTGGATTTTTCTCAATTTTTGGTATGATGTAGTTCATTTGTGATTCTATAGAATATTGTCATTGAGACAGGGTGTTGAATTCACATTTTGATCGAATTGACCATTCATTTCTGAGAAAATGAAAGATATTCCAAAACTGTTCATTCCATTTAATTACTTCTAAAAATAAATTCTTTATGAAAAAATATAATGGGGGCAAATTATTACCCCCAACCCTATTTCAAAACTGAAAAAAAAAAAAAAAAGAATTCCATCTAACTGTCAAAAGTGATGGGAAATGATGACATGACTGGACAATCAATATACTTGATATAATAGCCGCCATTTGTGGTCCCCCAAGGGGTATGTACACTTGGTATCTGATATTCCATAATAGGTGAGGGGGGGGGGCGTGAAGAGTGTGAGATTTCTTGTCTGAAAGTTGGTTTTTGATGATTATACTAACCAATTGTAACTAATTGAATTATTTCAATCATTGTAGAGTTTTCCTTGGAATTCACTTTCTATGATCAACATGTGATACAAACATGAATTTGAAATATATGAATGTCAGTTATGACCTTTTTCTTCAACAAGGCAGTAGGTACAAGTCTCATTTTACATTTAATTAGACAATGTAGGTATACACACTTCTTCTTTTGATCCATCCCTCTTATCCAGTACATTTGGATTTAGAACACCAATTACTACTCCTACACTGGTTTTCCAAAGCTGATTGTGGGCACTACTGAACAAGAAGAGGGATACTGTTTTTATACTATCTTTGAGATCACTTAGAGTCCAAATGGAGAACTGTGAGCCTTTCTTGGAAGTTTTCACAGCACTTTTATTCACTATAACACCAGCAATAGCCCAATCTTTCTCTTTACCTTTCATTTGTAAAAATCTGTCCACTCTTTCAAAAGAGACAGCTTCACGTCCCATCATCCTTTCTTGCAACAGAGTGGATGATATCAAAGGATTTATGATCCGAATCCCAAATACAGGATCAGTGTAAACATCAATTTTTACTTCTGGTAACTTGCTTGATTTTATGTTGGGGGAATTTTTATCCCATGCATTACTTTGAATAGTAGGTTTGGTTGACATCAAAGTAGGTTTTTTCCAATAGGATATCCTTTTTTTAATTTTGCCTTCAGAATCCAAAGAGTTATCAGCAGAACTACTAAGTAAATGTTTTATGTCTCTTCCACAATCATTGTATTTCTTTTCTTCAAAATTTCGGTTACCTTCTTCATCTGAAGAGTCTGTGTCTCCACTATGTATGATTCCATTCTTTGCTCTAGGCACTGGCGCTTCTATTATTGGGGGCTCATCTTGGTCATCTCCAAATAAATCTACCTCTGTTAAAGGTCTGACAACCTTTGAATTGTTCAATTCCTGGGAAGCTGCAGATAGTAAAATATCCAAGAGGTCTTCCTCTTCATTGTCGTTCATTGTGGTGACTTCAATAATTATAACAAAACACTAAATAGGACCATAAACTATATATATAATATAAATAAAAACCAATGGATTTTGATGCCTGCTGACCCAGTATGACAACTTCAGTTTTGGCACTTTTGGCGCCTTTTTCACACATGACAATTGGACAATATATCTGTCAAGAATTGAACAATATAATATTGACAAATGACAATTTTGAACTCTGTTGAACTTTCCTTGATTTTCTTTGTTGTATAATAATAATTTAACTACCATAATAAAAAATGACACTTACTATTCTGTTCTTAGCAATCTCATCATAACTCAAGAACGAAAATATTTTTTCCAGGGCAATTTCTGGCAGATAGATCAAATAAGTAGTTCCATTCATTATTTGCAACAGATTTTCTTCACTTTCAATGAATTCGATTTTTAAACGACACCCCGTGTATCCAGGTTTTATTTATCGTAAATAAAACAATTTTTCATTCTTAAAAAAATCAAGAGAATTAAAACATTGGATTGATTATGATATTATTTATATTTTTGGAACAAAACAAAACATTAATGATAATTTGATTCATTTGTCAACACTGACAAGTGACAATTGACAATTTGGCAGGTTTCACAGTTTCAAAAAACTGCCATATGCATCAGTGATGCCAATGTGCGCGTAATAGGTTGCGTGCAAGAACTGTCAGATGGATGACCGACCCTGGAGGCAAAACATTGAAACACAACGTCACTTTTCTTATTTGTTTACAAGTGATCGAAATAGTTTTCCACAATTATTTTGGCATATGAATCGTATTTTTCCGCTATTCATCAATTCGCTCATGCCATCAAATTCACTGATCTATAAGTGCATCAAATTGTGCTGTTGTAAAATGCACAAAAACTGCAGCGGAAGATGAAGCAATCCGGATGGCACATTATGATTTAAAAGTAAGTACCTACTATAGTCACTCACATATAGTTTTCATTTTTGAAATTTAGTTATTTCTCTAATTTCTCATCGGAATTCCTTCTGCAATAGGAGCTTATAGAAATATACCTGAAATTTGTAGAATAATGCAAGAAGATTGGATTCATGCAATCAATCGGGAGGACTGGTCTGAGTGTGTGTTGAAGACATTTTCAATCTATTAGCAGCATTAGCTTGTATTGCAGAAGTGGCAGAAGGCAGAAGGAATTTTAATAAGGAATGACAACATTTCATAATGATCACTATGTGAGATTACTATTTACCTGAAAAATCATATTCCCTAGTCTCTTGCTGCTTTTTTTGTGCATTGTACAACAGCACAATGCGAAGGCATGCTTCAATTAATGAATAACGCAAGAAACACGATTCGTATGCCAAAATATTGTGAAAAACTATTTCAACCTTTTGATTCCTCTGTGACCAAATAAAAAAGTGAGGTTGTGTTTCAATAATTCACAGAAGAATGAGGTTGTGTTTTAATATTTCAATGTATATTTTGCCTCCAGGGTCGGTCTTCGTGCACGCGACCTATTACTGCATTTACACCACATTTAAGGGCGCCGTACATTATGCTATTTCTCGGCAAGTTTGAGGCAATGCAATTTTCTCAATTTATTGCAAGTCGCCGTACATTGAGATATTTCTGTCATATTTTCTTGTTCATATTCACTATTTTCAGGTTTTTTGAGCCTTCAATGTACTTTTTGAGGTTATTTGGTGTTTCAGGCCATGTTATGGAGAAAATTTGTATTGTATCAAGATGCTACGATAAATATTACTGAAAATTTCACTTAACTTGCCTTGAAATTGCAGGAAAAATAGGACTGGTTCTATTACGAAACTTGCATGGAACTTGCCGTGAAATATCATAGACGCATGCGCATTCTTCGATTCAAAATTGCATTGCATCGAACTTGCTGGTAAATAGCATAATGTACGGCGCCCTTTACACAACTTAATTTACACGTTTGGGCTGAGGCTGAGATGTTTATAAGTCTCTATTCAGTCTCTATGCATCCTAGTATGGGCATAGCCTTGCAGTAAGAATGCAGTAATAGAGAGTTGAAGTGTTGTCATGAACGTTAACGTAAACGTAGAAATTGACAGCTACGCATGCGCATTTTCAAATTCTTCACGTTTGCGTTGTTGTTAGTGGGCTTACGGGTGTACGTTATCTCACGTCAAGGATTGTATATATTAGTTCGGTATTTACATCAGACTGCTCCGATGAATCTGAAGTAGATGAAGTAAATCTCATCCGTTCAGCTATTAAAATCGAAGCGATCTCACAAAGATCCTAATGCTCGGAGAATTTTGACCGAGCAAAGCGATTGATCTGAATTTGTGAGGTTAATGTTCAAATGTTTATGTATGACTGGCCGTTGTGCTCGTATTCGTATTTTCAAAATACCGTTTTCATAATGAAACCCGAGATGAAACCTTTATGGTGTTAGATGAGAATTATTAAGAAAATGTTGCTTGAATTGCAGGCAGTGAAGTGATGCACTGTTTCTTCGGCAAAATGTTCAACTTTTTCCAAAGCACATCGTTCCTCTTCATCATCCTCATCAAAAATAATTTGATGGACCGAAACAAAAGCTAAATTTAGCACAGTTTCTGGTATACTCATAATAGGTCGCGTGCACGATGACCGACCCTGGAGGCAAAATATTGAAACACAACCTCACTCTTCTGTGAATTATTGAAACACAACCTCAATTTTTAATTTGTTCACAGAGGAATCAAAAGGTTGAAATAGTTTTTCACTATATTTTGGCATACGAATCGTGTTTCTTGCGTTATTCATTAATTCAAGCATGCCTTCGCATTGTGCTGTTGTACAATGCACAAAAAATGCAGCAAGAGACCAGGGAATATGATTTTTCAGGTATATAGTAATCTCACATAGTTATCATTATGAAATGTTGTCATTCCTTATTAAAATTCCTTCTGCCTTCTGCCACTTCTGCAATACAAGCTGATACTGTTAATAGATTGAAAATGTCTACAACACACACGATCGTCAGCATGTCAGACCAGTCCTCCCGATTGATTGCATGAATCCGATCTTCTTGCATTATTCTAGAAATTTCAGGTATATTTCTATTAGCTCCTATTGCAGAAGGAATTCCGATGAGAAATCAGAGAAATAACCAAATTTCAAAAATGAAAACTATATGTGAGGGACTATAGTAGGTACTTACTTTTAAATCATAATGTACCATCCGGATTCCTTCATTTTCCGCTGCAGTTTTTGTGCATTTTACAACAGCACAATGTGATGGCATGAGCGAATTGATGAATAGCGGAAAAATACGATTCATATGCCAAAATAATTGTGGAAAACTATTTCGATCACTTGTAAACAAGTAAGAAAAGTGACGTTGTGTTTCAATGTTTTGCCTCCAGCGTCATAAATAAATGGGGTTAGGTTAGTTAACCGTCACCCGTCACACTGTCAACAAAATGTCCACTTCGTTCGTTTCTCAGACGAATAAAAGTAATCTGAGGTTCGTTTATTGCCGATTGCTCCCAAGGCTGATTGCTCCGATCCTGACCACGTGACTAGAATCTGCGCTAATTTGCGATGTAAATACCGAACGTGACTAAGGAGTTCATTGACTCAATATAAGTTTACATTTGGCCTGTTCGTTTTTATTGTTGAACTTGCTGAAGTTGTCTTTTCTCCATTCATGGCATGATGTAAACAGAGGAAGTCATAGAAGAAAATCAAGTACAGCAGGTAGAGCAAGCACAAACGAATAGGCCTGTTGAGTTCATTGCTTTTGCATATGTCATTAGTTGACAGAAATGAAATGACAGTCTTGACTTGACACTGAAATTTGCGCAGTGCGCAAGACATCTTGCGCCCTGCCGTTCTTTGTCTGTTCATCTACTCTTTTTAGTCTTTTTCTTTTACATTTTTCATTTTATGTGGTATTGTGGTTCGTAATTTTATTACATTCTGTCGTGCCGGTAGAACAGAAGTTACTGCATGAGTTTTCTTAGGCGATAATTTGTACCAACAGACTCATCAAACTGTGTTCTTTTGTGTCCGATGTCTAGTGCTATAATTGCGGACACCTCCGTCGATCCTCCAGCCAAAAAACGGAAGCTTACTCCAAAGACTGCTACCCCCGAAATGGCGAACAATGAAGCTTCAGGTTCATCTCAAATTGGCGAAATCGACGAAGGTCTCTATTCTCGTCAACTTTATGTGTTGGGACACGATGCGATGCGCCGTATGGCCACAAGTGACGTTCTTATATCAGGTTTAGGTGGGTTAGGCGTCGAAGTAGCGAAAAATGTGATCCTTGGCGGTGTCAAATCGGTCACTCTTCATGACGAAGCCCTTTGTACTATTGGTGATTTATCTTCACAGTTCTATTTTACTGAGTCAGATATCGGAAAAAACCGAGCAGAGGCTTGCTGCAAATCTCTTTCTGAGCTCAATACCTATGTCCCCACCAGATCTCACACCGGCCCCCTTGAAGAAAGTTTCATTAAAAAATTCAGAGTTGTTGTTCTCACCTCAAGTACAAGAGTAGAACAATTACGTATTAGTGAAATTACTCATGCTAATGATGTGGCACTAATCATTGCAGACACTAGGGGTCTCTTTGCCCAAGTGTTTTGTGACTTTGGAGATTCATTCACTGTTGTTGATACCAATGGTGAACCCACAGTGTCCACCATGATTGCTGATGTCTCTACTGACAAAGAAGCTATTGTTACATGCATAGATGATACTAGACATGGTATGGAAGATGGAGATTATGTCACTTTCTCAGAAGTACAGGGAATGACTGAGCTGAATAACTGTGAACCAATGAAAATTAAGGTATTGGGCCCATATACTTTCAGTATAGGAGACACAACTGGATTTACAAAATATGAAAGGGGTGGTAATGTGTCTCAAGTGAAAATGCCAAAAGAGTTACATTTCAAACCTCTGAAAGAGTCTCTCCAGAAACCAGATTTTCTAATAACTGATTTTGCCAAGTTTGATTACCCACAACAGTTGCATTTAGCATTTACTGCCCTTCATAAGTATATTGAAAAGAATGGTAGAGTTCCCAAACCATGGAATAATGATGATGCTGAAGAATTTGTTTCCATAGTAAAATCAATTGCTGTTGATGGGTCCAATGATACTGAAGTTAATGTTGGTTTGCTAGAAACATTTGCAAAAGTATCTGCTGGTGATTTGAACCCTATGAATGCTACCATTGGTGGAGTTGTAGCCCAAGAAGTAATGAAGGCTTGTTCTGGAAAGTTTCACCCAATATATCAGTGGCTTTATTTTGATGCCATTGAATGCCTACCTCAAGACCGTTCTGAAATTACAGAAGAATTAGCTGCCCCTACAGGAAGCAGATATGATGGCCAGATTGCTGTTTTTGGAAGTGAATTCCAGAAGAAAATAGGTAAGTACCTACAACATACTTCAGTGTTGCATTGAATCAAATTGTAAATTCACTCAGCTCACCAGCTTGATCAGCTCACTAAGCTACTCAATTACTCTTGAAGAAGTCAACAACAAATAAAAATTGGTGTGCATAGGACAACATGTTGGATGTGATAACTTTTATGGTATAAGTACACTTGTGATTATGCTGGTCTCATAGTACATTGCTCCTGTAAATGACTGTTTTACTCCCAGCTGCCAGGTGACAGACTCATGGTATACCCTCCTTTTCTCCTTTGTTTTTCTAGCTATATTTCAGACATTTTTAACATTTAATATGCTCACCATAGGGCAGTGGCGTACCCAGAAGTGTAGCTTGGGGGGGAATATACAGTTTTTTTTTAGGTTTTTTTCTAAACACAGTTTTATTTAAGATTAGGGTTATTATAGTAACTACAATGATTTTGAGCATTACAGAATCTGAAAGCACCTTTGGCTTTTGATTTTCAAACATTATACAAATTTTCATGTCACATTTTGATTTCTAGATATATTCCAGGTGACCCAAAGCTTTCTGTCCAGCAGATATGGGTTATCTAACTTAGGAAAATATTCAAAGAATTGTCATGGAATTTATGGAAGCAAATACTTTGGTTTTTCAAATTGCACCCCCATATTTTTTGGTTCCTCTTACAGAACTTCTTATTGGGAATTTGATTATATTATACAATATAGCATTATAGTCCTAATTATAAAGAAATGAAGGATTTTGCAGACTTGTTACCTTCAGGAGCATAATTTCAGTGAATACCTAGGGGGGGTCAAAAACTCAGACAAAATGTTCCTATAGTGAAAATGCCCCACAGGCGAAATTTTTTTAGAATCAAGGTCAAATGCCTTCAGATTGAAAATCAGATTTCTTCTAGAGTGATAGATGACTTCTCATTCAGCTGTAACAAGAAATCACTTTCATCAGTTCCAACTGCTGATGTTGAAGCCACTCTGTCACGCCCTCTCAAGCTAGTCTCACACAACCACCAACTACAGGAAACACTTGAGATGAAAACCTGATTTGTGAAAAAAACTCGAAAAAACTGGTGTATTTCTATCAGCATATGGGGGGGATATATCCTCCTTACCTCCCGGTTGGTACGCCACTGGATTTCAGGATTTTTTATCTTCTGGTTTTCCTGGAAATGACATCAAGTTTTTATGGAACACCCTATATTTTATTCCATAATCAGTTTTAGATTACTATAACAAATTCAATGATACCTGGTTTGATTGGGGTATTTTGAAGGATAAGGGAGATATTCACCTTAAACATTTCCATATGCTCAATGAGAGTGACAGAAAAAAGTAAATATCTTCATAATCCTTTGAAATAACTATCAAACCCAGTATCATTGAATACATTATGGTTATTTTGCACTTGATGGTTTTTTTTTTCGGAAATTTTTTTGGTACTCATGTATTTTTGTCTGAAGAACAGGAATTTGATAATGTTCAGATTTACATTATCTAATTCGTGTTTTTCATACAAAAATACGTAAGTACCAAAAAAATTAAAAAAAAAAAACCCATTGCATGATAAGTGCAAAATTATCTACATTATAATAATCTCTAACCAAGTCTCTAACTGATTATTGTTCCATTTGAAGATTGGAAGTTGGTGTCATTTCCAGGAAAACCAGAAGATGAAAAAAAATCCTGAAATGTGGAAAAGTGCAAGTGCCCTCCAGTGAGCATATTTGATGTTCCAAATTTCAGAAATATAGCTTAAAAAACAAAGGAGAAAAGAGTGGTATACCATGAGTCTTCGTCACCTGGTATACATGCCAGCGATTTTGCCGGTCTTATGGTACATGGCACCCGTGACGCCAGTTTACCTATCACAGAAAGTGTGCAATAGAAGTTATCACTCAAAAAACTGCTTACAGTTTGGGTAATTCCAGAGATCCTTTTTTTTGAGGTTTTTTCAAGTTTTTTTTTCAATTGATAATTTTCACAAAACTCAACTACCCACAACTGAACTAGTGCTTGCACAAGTGTTTTGCTAATATTAGGTTCTTGAAAGTGCACTATATTATCATCTAAGAGGAAGATAATAGTCATGTGTGTTTTAATTATGTGCATGACACAACATTATTGCCTTGATTATTACCAACTCAGTTGTGAGAACCTCAATACAATGACATCCAGCAATAGTAGAGATCTCCAAAGGCAGGTAGCAGAGAAAATAATGCAGCTTGGTTTTATAACTGGGTACTTCAAAGTCATACTATCTGATTGTGCCCAGGAAGCTATTTAACAGCTTGAAAAAAAATTCTTTGAAATATGTGTTCTTCAGCTCTGACTTTCTGTTCTGGCATCTGTTTCAAAAATTCATTATTGTGCTCTAAGTTGCAAGTTGAATTATCTACATAAGAGGGTGGAAGAGGGGTGGAAGGGGTGCTACAGACAACTATCTGGTTGTGTTTTTCCACTTCCAATAATTCTATTTGTGCAAGTTCTATCCACATCCTGTCCCTGAGGCCTGCCATCACTTTGCTGTTTTCACACTCGTTATTCAATGATATAATTTTCAGGTGCATTAAAATATTTTGTGGTTGGAGCAGGAGCTATTGGTTGTGAATTGCTGAAGAACTTTGCCATGATCGGATTAGGAACTCAAGGCCAGATCACTGTGACTGATATGGATTTGATTGAGAAATCTAACCTTAATAGGCAGTTTCTTTTTAGACCACACAATGTACAACAAGCTAAGTCTGCTACTGCTGCAAAGGTAAGTTTCATCATGTACTGTTATTGGAATTATTGTGGTTTTTATAATTTTTTTTTACATTTGGTGTAATGAAATTTCCTAAATGAAATCCAATAACATCTTAGATCTTGGATTTCATCCAGAGTATACAGTTTAACATTGATAGTGGTTCAATTTCCAAAGAATTCTTTTCATGATCTATTCATGTCAATCATTTCATAAACATCCTCAACACACCAAAAATTCAGTAAGGTATGGAGGGATTTCCAGAGGGTGTAAAAACTAGTTCTTGCTAGATTTTAGGAAACTCAAGATTTCAGATAAAGTGTGGGACCATTTGCTTTTTGATAATTGATGGTTTTTGAACCTTTTGGGTCTGTGCAACAACAAAATTCTTTTGGTTGTTGCCTGGTCAAATTTCAGGTAGGTGAAATATTGCATATAATGTTGGTCATACTATTACAAAAGAGGAATACCTGTTCTGCCATATGGAAGAATTGCAAGTAACTGATGTAACTTTCTAATGTGTTTTCAAATTTTTAGTCAATGACTTTATATATCAGTGTGAAACATTTAACAAGATACTGATATATGTCAAATTTCAGATTTATTATGATAATAAATAAGTCTAGTTAGCATCACTTCAAATCTCTGGGTTTTCATTTCTTGGGCACTGAATCTGAGACAGCCGGAACTCCAAACTGAGCCCTGGGATAAAGATCGGTCACAGCCAGTATACACTTTACACTTTCAATCTTATCAACATAATTATTCAGAATATCAAAATCAGTGATAGGAACCTATACTAGATTCCAAAGAAGATAGTAGGTGGCACTGCCTCTGAAGGAATGTTTACACTGATGAAATATACAGCGCCTAATTCAAAATCATGGCCATACTAATGAATAATGATTGAATTCCACTTTGAGTTCTAATTTATACCCAGCATTTTTTGTAATATATAAAAATACAACAAAGGAATAAAATGTGAGTTAATCTTCCCATGAAGAACACTTCAATATTAGACAGGTGTAATATTTCCTCCAATATTAACTGATCAAGAAGGTCAATTCTTCCGGTCCTGTTCAATCATCACTCAATGAGGAAGTTTCCTTGGGATGCATTTGTTTCACGTTGATTAGGATTATGTTTCTGCAATCTATAATGACAATTGAAATGATTCAAATCATTTCTATTTTTGAACTAGAACAATTAAGAAATATTTTGGCAGAAACCGATGAAAAAATGGTGAATCTAGTGTGAACATGGGTATAATAACTTTTCCTGTGAGATACTAGTATTCTCTGAACAAGCCCAAAATCTTCCTCGAACTGGAAATGAAAAAAAAAACGAAGTTTAACTGTTTCAGAAGGCTTACTCATAATTAAAAATATATGCTGAAAAATGAATGGATTGGAAAATAATGAAAATGAATTTACCAGCTTGTTGCTTACCATAGTGATATCCCAGAATATTACAATGGGGAAGACCACTGAGGAAAGAAATCCGTGCAAACCTCTTTTAATCAACGAATCATGATTTACGTTTGGTCTACAATCAATATTATGAGTTGAAGTTGAAGGGAATCGAATCTATATCGTTTTGGAATCAGCATATTTCATTCGTTATTTCGAAAAGCTAAATATGATGGTGGAGCCGTGACGTATTAGTCCCGCATTGTAGCTATCTCTCTCTGACACCTCGTCATTCTGTAGTGTTGCAGTGTGATTGGTGAGTTCAAGGACGATAGGCGTGTTGGGACTAAGACGTCGCACCAGTCACACCAATGAATTGACAAAATTTCAAATGGCACAGGAATTGTGTGTTTTGAAATGGGCATATTAATAATAATAATAATAAATAATAATAATAATATTTATTTGCAGAATGAGCAGAAAATAACAACGATAAGTAGAGAACATTTCAAAATATATAAATCATACTGCAAAACAGGAATGACAGGCAGTAAAACTGATACGAGTGCCATTCCTGGTGACTAGCATAAAAAAAAATACATGATGTATGTCGGCATGTGAATAAACGAAATGAAAATGAAACAATTACTCATTTTAATTCAATCATTTGCTTGAAATAGCATATTTCTGTAACTATTTCTGAATTTGGTAGTTGACATTGTTTTGAAATCTGAAGGAACCTGGTTGTAAAGCTGGTAAACTGTGTAAGTGAAGGACCTTTCAAATATGGAAGTTCGATGAAATGGTGGTGATATGGAACCCTTGAATCGAGTGTTTATATTATGAACATCACTTCTGAAGGTTATTTTGTCATAAAGATATGGAGGTGTTTTGTGTAATAATATTTTGTGACATAAAGTTACTGTATGCAGTTCTCTTCTTGCAGACATATTGAGCCATTTTGTTTCCTTCAACTTGTATGTTATGTTTTGATATTTCCTTATCCCATGAATGTACCGAAGACACGATTTCTGAACCCGTTGAATGCGATTAATCTCGTTATTGGTTAGGCAAGGTCCATACACAACATCACAATAATTGAAATGCGAAAGTACCAAAGAATCAGTGAGGAGAGTTTTGGTGAATTTATCTAAGACATGTCGATGGGGAAATAACATTTTTAGATTAGCAAAAGATCGTTTCACGCATTTACTTATGTGAGATTTAAATCGCAAATCTGTATCCAACTCTAAGCCCAAATTTCTTGCAACTTTGACATATGATATATCATTACCACCAATTTTAATTTTAATGCCCAATTCAATTTGAGTTTTATTTTTACCAAAAATCAGAACCTGAGTCTTAGCGGGATTTATCGAGAGTTGATGTTTTTCAGAACATGATACAAGCTTGGATAATTCCGAATTGATCACCTGATTTGTTAAATCAATTTCAGTATGGGATATGGTGAACTTGATCTGAGTATCATCAGCATACATGTATGATTTACATCCAACAAGGCAACTAGTAATATTACAAGTATATAATGAAAATAGTATAGGTCCTAATATAGAGCCTTGAGGCACACCACAGTAAATGTTTTTTATATCTGACTGGCCTTTGCTAGTTTCAACAAATTGTGCGCGATTAGTAAGGTAGCTCTTAAGTAAATTGATTGCACTACATGAGAACCCGATATAGTGGAGTATTGCAAACAATAAACAGTGATTGATAGTATCGAATGCTTTTGAATAGTCCAATAAAATAAGTGCTACAGCGTTTCCTTCATCTATATCTCTAAAAATATCGTCTGTTACATCTAACAAGGCGGTAGTACAGCTATATCCGTTTCTGAAACCTGATTGGTGTACAGGTAATATATTATATGTCTGGATATGTGAATTAATTTGAAATTTCATGATTTTTTCTAATACTTTAGATAACACAGGTAAGATGGATATAGGTCTCAGATCATTGATATTCAGAATATTTGACTTTTTAGGGAGTGGAATCACTTTTGACACCTTCCATTTTTCTGGAAAAATACCTTGTCTTAAGCATGTGTTAAAAATATGAGTAAGAATATGCAAAATTTGCGGACAGCAATACATTTCAATCTGTAGACCATCAACACCAGTTGCTCTCGACTTTATATCGACTAAATGTTTATAGACAACATTACTATCAACAGGAGAAAATGAAAACTGTGATTCAAAGTTCGCTTTTGAATTAGTGTTATAAAATGAGAGCAAATCATTATCAACTGGTTTCAAAGTACCAGAGTATGTAAGGAAGTTGTCGTTGATTTCATTTGGTATATTCATTTCAGGAGGTAAGCTTTTAGAATTAGACGCTTCATTTGTAATATTAAGTTGTTTTATGTTTTTCCACATTAAATTACTATTATTTCCATTTCTCTCCACACAATATTTGAAATATGCCTTCTTTTCGTTTCTTATAGAAGAATTAGTTAAGTTTTTAAGGTCTTTGTAATATTGCCAGTGATTTATGTTTTTAGTTCTCTTGTATTTTTTGAAAGCTTTATCTCGTAGTGACATCATAAGCTTTATATTGTCAGTAAGCCACGGTGGTCTTGGTTTTCTCATTTTCCTAATAGTCACTGGCGCTAATGTATCAAATATATTCAGAAGTATTTGATTGAAACATATAACTTTATTGTTAGCATCATCCAGTAGATATACATCTTCGAAAGGTGCAGTTATTAGAAAATATTCTAGCAAGTCCTTGTCAATATTTTTTAAATTTCTTGTTGCATATGTTTTATTAATACAATGTTTCATGTTAATATCTAAAGTGGAAAACACGAGTTGATGATCAGAGATATCAAAAACATCCTTGCATCCATAATCCAGAGGATTGATTTCATTCGAAATGATAATTACATCCAAGAGAGTGGAAGTAGTACTCGTTATTCGTGTTGGTTCAGTTATAATTTGCTTTAAATTGAAAATATCAATACAGTTATTGAATGCTTCGGTACTTTTATTCTCAAAGTCGAGAATATTAATATTAATGTCACCTCCACAAATAATTTCGTTGCAAAGGGGAACTACTTCTGATAAATTATCTTCTAAATTATTGAGAAAATCATTGAAATTTTTATTTGGTGGCCGGTAAAGAGTACCGAAAATGTATTTGACAGTACCAACACTAAAGCTTACCCACAGCTGTTCCACAGCTTCACATATTCCTACCTCTAAAGTTTCATAATTCAAATTAGATTTGATATATATACCAACACCACCGCCTCTCGAACCTCTATCTTTTCTAATAAAATTATAGCCATCAACTTGTAATAAATAATCAGGGGTTTCTTCAGTCAACCAGGTTTCACAGATTCCCAACACATCATAGTTCTCGTGAGTGATAAATGTCCTAAAATCAGCTAAATTTGGAAGCAGAGATCTCACATTAAAAAATCCGAATGAGAATTTCTTCATGAGTAATTGCCAAAAAAAATGTTTACTTTTTTGATGTTTGAAACTATCCAGTCAATCAAAAAAGCAAAAAATAAATTATGATTCATGATGGCAGTAAAACAGGTCCCAATACCAATGACTATAAAATAAATGCCGATGAGAAAATATCGTAATTAAAAGATCACAAAAAGTTTCAACCCAAAATACCTAAACCCATCCTCATTGAAGTCATAAAAAAAACAGTAGCGTATGAACACAGATAAGCCCATTACAAAAACAGACTAGTTGGTATAAGTAATAAAAAGAGATATTATACAAAAAAAAAAAAATTTGAACATCGATCCTTCGACTCGTTACCACTGTTGCCACGCTAGAAAAATTTAGGTGAAAATTAACTTTTATTCCAAACGCTTCTCAATATATGCCATGGAAAAATATAGATAATAAAATTTAAAAAAAAAATCGTTATTCCCAAGTATACATGAAAATATAGTAAAAGGAAAAAGGAAAAAAGAGATATAGTGAGACCGAAAACATTTTGCAAAAGTACATTATCTTCCAACCAAATTTTTGCAATTCACAACAGTTTTTTTACCATTAATATTGGCAAAAATTCTTCCACTTTGACTCCATACGTTGTTCTTGCCATACTTTTCGGAGGCTAACTTCAGTGTTTCCACCGCTGATGCTGTTAAGTCCTCTTTCATGAAGTAGTTCGTATTTTTCAGCATTTTCTTCTTCTTAAAAATAAGATCTCTCGTTTTAATCGAGAGAAACTGCACTAGGATAGGACGAGGTTTGCCATCTTGAGCCTTGCCGATTCGGTAACACTGATCCAGATCGGACGGAGAAACTGCAAGCTCCAGTTTATCTTGGAAAAAGTTTATAATTTTATTCTCACACAGTTCCGGCGTTTCATTGGCGGCTTGTTCTTCTCCATACACAATTAGGTTTTTAATCTTGCTCATCCGTTCAATGTGTTCCACTTTTGTTTCCAAGTATTGAAGTTTGGATTTGTTTTCGTTAACTTGTTCAACAAGAGATTTAAAGGAAGATTCAAATTGTTTGAACCTCTCTTCCAGTTGTTTCCCAATCATACCTGCTTGCTGTTTACAGATTTTGGATAACAACTCCTCTGATAAACCAGGTTCCGATATGCTTTGGGATTGTTGTCTTGTTTTCGACATGATGCTTTCCGAAGTGGTGATTGGCAACAATGTTTCTGGCTGCAACGTTACTGCGTATCTGCTTGATTTAACCATACAAATTCCTCACAGTTCTTGGATTTCTCGAAAAACCTTCCCGAACTTCACTCACGGCGGCAAATTTTGTTCGATTGTTGATTAATTGTATTAGTGACACAATTCTAGCGGGGCTTAGTGAATAATTAACTCTTATTTCCTCATTTAGAACGAAATTTTTGGGAGCTCTGTTAAAACGTGCCTACTCACGTGCCAGCGTTGCCGGTTCTGATATTCTAATTTATTTTTTTCATGGTCTTAGGATGAATGAAAAAATTCAAAATTACTTGACTCGGCCATTACTTGATGGAAATCCATGGCAAATGTAAAAACTTCACAAACGATAAGATTTACACAAAATTCTCAAACACTCACGTTTATTGTACCAGTACCTGACGAAGCTACTGTGTTAGCGAAACATGTCCTGTGTTTGAGAATTTTGTGGAAATCTTATCGTTTGTAAAGTTTTTACATTTGCATCACAGCAACTTCATCACAATCAACAAGTGCAAATACAACAAAAAGAGCGCATATACTATTGGAAGTGGATATTAATTTTGTATTGTGTCTGTCAATATATTATTCAAATCTAATCGGATATTTGCATCCATTCCATTGCCAGTCAAAATATACAGGGTAAGTCATGACTAGCCAGCCATATACATTCTTGATATGGATTTCTTGGGATCTCCAGCATGGCATTTGACAACCCTTTTGTTCTGACATAGTTGTATGTATAGCGGGTTTTGTAGTGAAGTGTTTGAAAAAATGTATCTCATGTCAATTCTGTTTGGATATGTTGGAAGCTGAAGAGGTTCATTCAAAGCTTCAATTGAGAATGAAATATATCATTGATAAATGCTTCCTTATTTGTCATCAATGTATGCAGAACCGCTGAGAAAACATTAAGAATAATGATGGCTGAAATAAATATTTTTGTGTTTTTGACTCATTTGAACAACATATTATTGATACTGATCCATGACATCATCCAATAGAACTCGTCAAACTAATCTTAACTAAATATTTGAATGTAAAGGCTCCATCATGAGGCAAATAAATTGAAAGATATGATGAAATTCTGTTAAGATCAATACATAATTTTTTTCTGTGACTGGAAAAAAGTTTGGCATTTCATCTGTGTTGGCAGGTTATAAAATGTCACTTTTCATAAATTACTTTTTTCTCGGATATATATCACATATATATACACTGTTGATGGCTTTTTTGTGCTATAGTTCCGAAAAATGAGTCAATAATACTGTTTCCGAGAAAGAACTGCAAGTCCTTTCATCTTCCATTCGACTTCGCGGTTAAGTATATTACTAAACAACCACTAAATTCGCAATTTTTTGAAATCAAATCACAGAATTAGACTGACAGAAGTGACATCAGATATTTGATTACTTCAAAAGAATGATAAAGATGCCTTAAACACAGGTGTCCCTACTGTTAAAAACTCTAAAATTTCACGTCGATAATTTTCAGATTTCAAAATAAAATATCTTCTCAATATTGATTCGACCTTTCTTCTGTCACAGAAAAAAATAGTGTATTATACACGGGAAAAATATTAGATTTTAGCTCAGGGTTTTTTGTCTCCCTCCGCTACGCGGACAACTAAAAATATCCACCATTTCATATATCAATTCACTTGGGATACTTAGCTGTAGAATATTCAATCGTTTGTATTCCATTTGATGTCTATGAAATACCTAAATAGTCAGTGAATTGATTTTCTCTACGGCTATAATACAAAATTGCTCTTGTTCTACTGTTTTTGATAAATCAATGAGGTACATTGAATGTCTCTAATTTCACTCCATCAACTGATAACACAATGAGTTCATTGTGTTGTTGTTTGACAATATACAAGGTTTTTGGTAATTCGATACATTCCTTTGGGGATGTGATAGGAGAGATGGTAGGGAGTGGATTTAACCCTAATATGCATCAGGCAAAAGTAAATAGTTTTTGAGATATTAACATTTTTCTGTTTATCTGTTTATTTATTCACAAACAAAAATACGACTTTGTATTTACAATTTATTTATGATCTAAAATATTTCTGGAATTTTTTCATTACAAACATAAGACCATAGTTCTAGTTGAAAGGTGGAAAAAATGTAGAGCAGATTTTCGAGACACTAACTTTTAAACCATCTAATTTTACCTTTTGTAGAAAAACGGACTTTACGAGTGTAAAAAAGTCTTCACGGACGTGGTGCACACTATACTTTTTCTACGACCTTTTACTTAGAGATTGAATAAAAGGAAAATTTTACTAATTTTCTTTATTATAATAATAATTATTATGAACAGTTATATTGCAATTTTGTAAATTGTCAAAATGTACATTTACTTTGGCTTTCTCTACAAAATCAGTGCTACTTGTACTGTTGGTATTGACAACATAACTACGATTATTCTCAGTTGTTAAGATTTTATTGCAGACATCTATCTTTTTAGTTAGGCATTCTTCCACGTAGGCTTCTGCCACTGAGGATGATTTCCAGCCGCCGTGATTTTTTAGCGTTAGGAGATCTCCTCCACCTTCGACTAATAAAGACGCAGATGAACGCAGTAGGCTGTGCCCGGTAAATTCGTTGGGATTGGGGAGTTTCAAAAATGTGGAAACTTCTGAAGGGACTTTTCCTATCTTATTTATACCAATCACTTGCCGAGTACATTTCCCTCGTTGATAATTAATAAAGAATTTATTTTCGGCATAATCCTTGGGACGAACAGCCACGTATTTGTGATATATGTCCAAGTATTCAGTAACAGTAAATTTCCTAGAAATTCTAGAATATTTTTCATCGGGTGCCTCTTTGAGAAATATTAATACGTGTTCCTTTTCCAAAACGCGTGATTTTTTAGGAATGTATCCCTCGTTTTTCCGTTTCAAGAAAGCGCGAACTTTCGGATAATCACCAATTTGTACGTTGTACTTAACACTAAGGGTGCTTTTCAACATTGAGTAGTGACTCCATAAGGTAGAAGATTTAACCTTTGTTGATAATTCAGATAGGTAGGCTAATATTACCCTTTCGGAGAATGATTGGACGTTTGTATTGCGCCATTGCATAAACTTTTCCAAAGTGTTTTCGTAAATTCCCAACGATTTCTGTGGCAATAACGATGAACTTGCTTCACTGGCTGCTAATTATATTTGGAGGAGTTGATGGGAGTACTTCAATGCTGTCCATCAGGAATTTGCGTGAAATACACGGCTAATCGGTTTAAATCAAAATTTCGTCGAACTATTTATTAATTCAGAGGGTAATTAATTACTATTTACGGTCTATTAACTGATGTAAGTCTGAACTTCACTCTGCGGGAACTGTCATATTTGTCAATGTCTCTCGCCACCGCTACCTAGACCAGCGACCGGTGTGTGAATTTGTATTGACTCTTATGGCACCGGTGCGTGAAATAAATCCCATAAGAAAAGCATGGCACTTCACACACCGATTCGTGAAATGAAGCTTTACACATTTTTATCGATGTGTGAAGTTAGTAATTCACATACGGGAGTAGAAAAAAAATGTTACATGTAGTGTCCCAATTCCTAATGTTTATAAGTATGACAAAAATACGTAGTTAACGTATATATCAGGAAAAAGTCCTGATGAAATACACTCATTTATAATCTGCGTCAGTGGAATGCAAAGTAACTCTGCTGGAACTGTTTTAATAATAGCCACTGGATCTTTGATCAGGCCCACTATAGCATTTAGGTTGCAATTAATGTAATATGTTGAATATTTTAATTGGAGTTGCAGGCAACCAGAAAAGTGAATTTTTAACACATTCATTTTTTTGGCAGTCATTTTGGACACTGTTATTCAAATCAATATAGGAATTGCACATTTCTGCAATTTGCAAGGGATCTTCGATCTGTTGGCCGTCATCTATAGTCAAAGTGATGTTATCATTTGGTTTCGTTTTATTAGTCAAATTATTGAAAATGGTCTATACTGATTTTGATTTATTTTTAAAATTTGATATTTGTGTATTCTTCGCCGATCATTTGAAGTCAGCCAGACATCTTCTGAAGCCTGCTCACTCCATTCTATACCTGATCAAGACATCATTACATCTAGTCTCTAGGTATAAGCTGTACCAGTCTCTTACATATTGGGCATATTGCTTGATCTCATTATTTCCCCATGAGTTTTTTTTTTATTTTTCAATATAAATAAAGTTTGGGGGAAGGCCATGTTGAAGTGATAGGACAGAATCGAATGAAAGAGATTGATAAAATCTACTTAAATTTTTTCAGAGTAAATTCTTCAGTAAGTTGTCTGATTTATATTCTTTTTGCAACTGACCATCAGATCAAAAATTTGGCAGAAATGATCAGATATAATGGATTTCTTTACCTTGGCCTGGGACATGTCATCAGAAATATTTGTAAAGATGTTGTCTACTAGGGATCCGCCCCCTCTAGGATTTGGACTGGTTATTTCATTGACTCTGGATCTATGTTGATAATGTCTGATTCTGTAGACGAGCATGTTATAATTATTGTGAGTTGAGCTATCTTGATACATGAAAATAGAAAATAATCATTGAACATATTTAAAAATAGCTTGTCGTGAAGCACGGGGGCTCCAAGCACTAACCAAAAAGAACGGGTTCCTGCCTTCTTTTCTTGCTCTGGAGTAGCTCCGGTATTACCCACACAGTCAAATAGAAAGCGGCATTTATCTGAGATCTACCCGACCTCGCTAGCTCGTTCCATTCAAAAGTTGAAGGGAAAACGTATGTTACGCCATCACGACCACTACAACAAAATCCAAAAATTTTCACACCAGGATTTAGTGCTTTTCAGTTGCTAATTTGTTCCACTTTCCAAAAATTTGTTGCTCATGCAGATATAGCAAAAATTGAGTCCATGCCAGCTACACGATAAGTTGGCACAACAACTTTTTCATTTCAACTCCGAATTGGGAAACAAGTATACCAAATTGTAGTGCTAATTTGTTGCTAATTTGTTCCCCCATTCGAATTTCCGC